CTGAAGAATTTATATTATTTTTTTTTATTACCTAACCTAACCTTATCTAACCTAGTATGTTTCTACATTTTAGTTACATTTATAACCATAAATAAAGAAAACACATGAAAAAACAAGAAATTAAGTACTTACCTCTGATCTTGTTTTTTGCTATCAGTTGCCAAGGAAAGTTTAGCCTACATTTTTTTTAACTTTTTTTTTATAAAGATGGTACTAGTACACTAAATTTTTACTTACCTGAGTAATATACCTAAGAACACTGAATAATAACATCCACAAAGTAAACAATATCCTGTAATTATTACAATTTAATTGACTTTTAACTAGGACAATAGGGGCTTAATTTAATTCCCTTTGCTGTTCAATCTGAGCACCATGAGATAAACTTTCAAACTGAAGACAAAATTGACAATACACTGTACTAAAAACAATGTAGCATTATATATCATTCAATAGATCAGAACTTTGCCATTCTGTTGGTTATAAATGATATAATATAAAACGTCAGAGAGAATTATTGGCAATTTGCAAAAGAGAGGATGTGAGAGGTGGGCTTGGCAGGTGGGTCTGATTTTCTGGTTTATGATTTCATAAACAAATTAGATTTAAGACTATAAAAGTTAGGTTTCACCTTAATAATACCTATATTATAATGAGTAACTTACATTAACTTCCATACTTAAAAAATCCTCTTTCTCCCCTTGTATGAGACTCATGCATAATCTTTATTCTCTATGTGTTCTATCTTTAATTTATTTCTGAACCCTCTCTCAAAAATATTTTCTTACAAACCTAAAACTTAAATAATTTTAAAATTTGGTTTATTAACTACATTTTGATACCAAGTTTGTTTGTATACATTGATAGTAAAGTATTTTAATTAAGTTTTGAATATATCTTTGTAAAAGGTCATGACATACACACTTTGACCTACCTGTAGCGAGAGGGTTAAGCAGCAACATCTTGTGAATGTTGATATAGAGATACTGCTCCTTGAAGATCAGATTTCAGACAGAAAGGCCTCAGTTTGAAGATTTTTGTGTGTTTGTTTGTTGTTAAGTGCAAAGCTACACAATGAACCTACTGTGTTGTGACTACCATTGGTATTTAAACACAATTGTTCTAGCATTATAAGCCCTCAGACTTTCTGCTGAGCCACTGAGGAGCTTTAAATAGATACAAGTTTGGGCAAGGTGTGGGATTGATTGAGTCACCATGACAGTAAGAAGTGAAAAGGAGGAGGAAGAATAAAACAAGAGGAGACAGTGGATCTTTGGGCATACTCCAAGAAATGCATATGGGTATGATCAAGAAGAACAAGGGACTCAAGAAAAAAGATAGTACACAAAAGAGAAAAAAACCTTTCATGCAGGAAGAGAAGGAGACATGACAGCCTTGGTGATCGGAAATTCCATGTCTAACAGATATAAAAAAAGAGGCTGAACTGGCTCCACAAACAAATTGAGAAAGACTCCCAACAGAATTAACTGGTGGGTTGCAATCAAGACTGATTGGGAGAGCCTAACCAGTCAGTCCAAATGAACAAAAGTCCTCTTCAGACCCAAATGAAGACATATGGAGCTGTAGCCAACCCAAAGGGAAGAAGGGCTTTGCACAGACCATTTAATTATTGTAAATGAAGCAAGGAAGCAACAGATGGGCAGACAGCCTGGGATGTGGAAAAAAACATTTGAGACATTGATCTTGGTCATACACATCCTAGAAGAGAGCAACCACCCAAAAATGAGAAAACCATCCATGTTGATCCAAGGGATGATAAAAGTTGGTTCAAATGTGACATCTATAATAATAACTTCCAATCAGAATAAGCCATGTACCTAATAAAAACTAAAAATTAACCAGTCCATCAGTATAATGAATTAAATATACTTTTGAGTATCTACTTATAAAGATTAAAATACATATGACAGGTCACCAATTTCCCATCTTCTTGGGAACAACAAAAGAGGTTGGAAGTATATCCAAGAATGGGAATAAGAACCTGATTTAGAGTGAGGGGAAGGAGGAGGTTGAGGGTGGAAGGTTAGAGAAATAATCTGAGTAACCAATTTATCTTTGGCAAGGAAAGCCCACAGGTGTACAAACTGTGAGAGCCAAGCTTCAATCAGACTGGAGCCAAGAACCTCTGAGACCTACAATGTTCAGCTCTCTGAGAAAGGGCACATTAGATAGTAATATGAGGATGAGGAACAGAAGAGGGTAAGTGACCTGGCAGAAACCCTTATCCAAGAAATGCTAAAATCCAGAGTGAGCAGAGATGATTCCTGAAGAGCTTGAATATAAGGAACACCTCCAAAACCTTATCACAAAAAAAAGGGAAAAACATGAAAGTTCCTGATATAAGATTGAGGGAGACAAATTTCAGAAAGTAAACCTCGAAAGAAAGATACCCAGTTAACTGAGACACAATAGAAGAAAAAAAATCAAGAAAAAGGTAGAAAACATGTTTGTGAAACTTTCCCCAGTAAAGCTTTCAAATTTGCAATAGAAAGCCCCTGAAAGAAGATGAACAAGTAAGAAATAAATACAAGTGGACAGAGAGCAAGAGAAAGAGAAAGAACAAGAAAAGGGAGATCCCCAAGCTGATATAGATGATTCAAGTGATTGAGGCTCATGCAACAAGGTAGCCCAAGATTCAGCAAAAAAACAAAAGAAGAAAGAAAAACAAAAGAATGTCACATACCTATGGAGCAGCAAAGGACAAAGCTAAGATTACCTAATTCTCCACAGAAAGATAGAACCAAAGCAAAAATATAAACAGTTGGTCAAATTTGTCAAAGATGGGCAGGCTCAGCTGAAGTAACAGAAGCTTGTAGTAGTGGATGACTCCTGTTCAGGAGTATAAACAGTTGGTCAAATTTGCCAAAGACGGGCAGGCTCAGCTGAAGCAACAGAAGCTTGTAGTAGTGGATGACCCCTGTTCAGGAGTATAAACAGTTGGTCAAATTTGCCAAAGATGAGCAGGCTCAGCTGAAGCAACAGAAACTTGTAGTAGTGGATGACTCCTGTTCAGGAGTGCAAGAACCTCAGAAATGTCAGAAATATAAATATATGAATTCATAAGCCAGATGATCCATGAAAACATTTAGGTTTTTCTTTGTTAAAACTGGCCTTGTATGTCCATGGTACATAATGACAAAATTATTGAAAATTAAGTAATAAAACCCATTTGCTGGGTTAATAACAGGGAACAGTTTTGTCAAAGAAATCACATCACAAATTCTGGAACACATAACCCCAAATTCTGTGATTTGATTATGAGGACAAATCAAACTAATATAACTGAATTAAAAGTTCAAACTCAAATGTTTAAAATTTGGCATCTTTCTTTCTCATGATCAAAAAGATGAAGTTAAAAAGTCTACACTAATGTTAAGTAAAAGAATGAGTCTTTGTTGAAACACAAGTGCTCATGGGGTTCTCTGCATATGGAGAATGTATTGTCCTCCTAGTGGTGGGGGCTATAGTCTAATGATGATTATATTATAGATTGGCTCAGTACCTTGTTAATGTGTAGGGTTGGAAGTTTTGTTCAAGATGTGGTACATGTGCAAAATGTTTTTTGACAGCGGTGCAAGGTATTAGCTATCAATTCTGTGGAAAGGAGAGTAGCATTTCTGAAACCAACATTTATGGCAAACAATGTATCAATCCAACACAAAAGTTTTGAATGAACTGTATTCGTCATTCTAGTCAAATTTTGTAAAATATTTATCACTTATAATCAACTGCTGTAATATTTAATATCTCCAATAATAATTCATGTCCTGATTTCATAAGCAGATGTAATCAAACGACAGGAAGAAGGAACATAAATTAAGTAATTAAAATAAGATCTTATGTTTTTTTGTTAACATAATTTTATTTTAATGTCACTATCCACAACTTTAAGGTTCTAATTTGAATGTTACATTATTTCATAAGTTTTACCCAAAGTATGCAATGCTCAAAGTGAGGGGGTATACAGGAGGTAGGCATATCCCCACTTCTTAAAATCAAAGCTATCCATACCACCAATTTTTTTTTTTATAAAGTGCATCCCAGGACTTTTGAGTCCACCCATTGAGGCCTGTTATATGCCATATTCCTACTTATTTTTCTCACTTTGAGCACCAAAAGTGTGAAGTAGACTATTATAAACCATGAAAAAACATGTTATATATATATATATATGTATATATATATACATAAAAAAGGCAAAATACTCGGATAAGTATTAAAGCAAAAGGCTTACAGTGACTATAATTTGTAATTGTCATTGAACATACAATAAAATTTCTTAAACATCTGTCCCAATGTGGTAATTTCAAAATAACCATAGGCAAAAAAAGGGCAAATTAGAAGAAAGTTGTACATGCAATAGCAAATTATGCTACATTTAGATAATTTATTTAAAAAAATGTTAGTTTCTTCAGTAAACATCATATGCACTATAATAAAATTTAAATGTTCTCTAAATAAACTTGCATAATTCTGACTTGATCTCGAGTCCATCAAAATAATCAAAACAAACACTCCTTCCAATTTACTGGTAAGGCACTTCTTATTTACTTACCTGGCTATCACCCCCCCCTACAAACAAGGCTTTTCCTTGAGTATGAGCCATAAAAAAACAAAGCTGTAGGTATTTCATATGGGTTCCAATTTCTCTAAAATATGCATTTCTCAGGATATGATACCAAGGCCAATGAGCTGACAAAAACAAGGTGTCTTACAAACTGAGCAAACTTACTAGCTGCTGACTATTAGTAAGGCACTTTTCAACAACTCATCTAACTGGCTGTCACAGTCTCCTATATGATCAATAAACAGAAACAATTGGCAAAAAACCAAAATTTCACTTTGGTTAAATAAATTCTAGGGTGAATACAAGTGGAAAAAAAAAACATAGAAGTTTCACTCCATAATGTCTATCCTATAATGTGTACCCCTCCCAGAACAGTACAATGGTCTTTAAACAATACAAAAAAGTAACACACCTCCCAGTCAAGGTAATCTTCTCCTTCTTCAAAGTATCGAAGTATAGAAACAGAGACATGTAGTTTATTGAATTCTTCCCTGGTAATTGGACTAAATCGGCTATCCTTTAAAGCACTGAAAATCACAAATTCTTACTTATTGTGGTAATATCACTCAGAGATTCATTTCTAATGCATCTGACTCCTACTTATCTAAGAAACCAGCTTAATAACTGGTACTTCAGTGTGTAATAAAAGCTTGAACTTTAAAATGTACTTGTAACTCTACATATTTCAATTTAAATGGATTCCAAGTTGATTCTTACATTTACAAGGTCAAACTTTCACAAACACTTTTAAGACTTTTTTTTTTATTCTACTCCATTCCAACATCTTGTAACACTACTACATAAAATGGAATTTGTATACTCTTGCTTTTGAAGTACATTTTCATTCACAAGATCACCCTTTTAACCAACACTTGTATTAAATGTATTTGCACATGCCCAGTGAGGCAGCCGCCTATTATCAACATCTCGGAGAAACCAGTCATGAACAAAGAAGAATAGTCCCTCTAAAGATTGGCAATCACTGGAAATCATTTTAATTCTAAAACCTAGTGTTAAAAACTAATGTTTTGCATCTAGGTAAACAGAGCTAGTATCTCTACACAGAGCAGGAGTTTCCAGAACTATTCCGTGTTGGGTAAGGAACTCATATAAAACAGGAGTGACAAACAAGAAAACTCTATGTAATTTAGCACATCACAGCAAAAAAATAAAAGCATCTTAAAAGATAGTCAAGAAAAGAAAAATGACGCATACTATGAAAGAATGAAATCCACACACAACAAAGAATCCAAAAAGATGTCAAATCCATTCGTATGGTTTACTAGGGTCTTATAAGTTGAATAGTGCAATGGATATACACACAATATAATCTTGAAAAAGGACATTCTACTAACACACATGATGATGATAAAGAATTTGTCATTATTTAAACTGTTTATACCAATGAGGTAATTGTGTGAAGACAAAAGAAATTTTCCACAGTAACGAATTACCTAGACACAAAATAAGATCACATGACACAAATGAACAAAATTTCATGATAAAACTTTCATGGAGATACATATAATAGCTCCCAAAGGACATCAAACATCCACAGAAAAATAAATTGCAAGATATCGACTGTGATGGAACATACCATGGAGCTCTCTTCCAAGAAAGTATAGAATCATAAAAATAAGAATTTAAGTTAATACATAAAATTAATAGAAAACAAATTTCCTTAATGGAAGAATTACAGTGCATCACAAATAATAAAGAATTCCAACAACAAATCATAATAACAAATTCAAGTCAGAACAATCATAACAAATAGAAACTGAGGAATGAATTGGAAGCATCTTATTATAAATAGTTACAGAATTATCTTTATTTTAGATAAAGCAGACTATATTTCTAGAGTGAAAACATCTACTTCTCTCACATGCAGTCAAATAAAAAAAAAAATGTTTTTTTTGTAATACAAGATATTCAGAGTGACTGTAATGGACTAATCTAGAAAGTATTACAGATCATTAATCAGTTTTTTTTCTGAAAGGATTTTGAAGTTTCCAACTTATTATAATTTTTTTTTTTATTGTGCAACATGGAGATTCCTTCTCAGGAACAAATTTAAAACTAAGTCATAAATTAATGTGCTTATCAAGTAGTATCTAGATAATCTTATCATAACAACCCAGTAGTACTAACATGATTTGGTTTAATTCATTTTAGGTTGTGTAGGGCCGTTTCTTACAACTTCCACATAATTTTTGAAGAGAAATGAAAGCCTTGATATTAAACTTGGTCTAAGTTGTTTAACCAAATCCAGGGTTATTTGTCGATTTTGAAAACATATGAAAGCCATCTATCAAAACAGCAGCAAAATAAACACACTGAAATGCAATTTTATTTTGCTTGTATTTTCTTGATGAATAATGATAAAAACATGTCTTTCCCTCTATAATGCCTTCATAAGTCATTTTTACCAAAAAGTATTCTATTTATGGCTTTCTATTCAGTTACCATTTGGAAATTGACAAACTTTCAAACTAAACGCATACAACAGATAATTCAGTTATTCAGTATTCCTTCTGTTTTGTCAGGGTTTAAATGAAGTACCTGTATGTGGAAGGACAAGCACAATAACACATGTAAAAGATACACTAATTTATTTTGCTTAGTATAATTGTTATTTTTCTACAGCCACTGCAAACAAGATAGTGAAAACACAACTCTCTAAAGACCAATACATGTGGATACACAGTAGAAGAGTTGTCTAGTAATCCATGTAAAAAGTAGAAATTTGTCAGAAAGAAAAGAAATTTCATAACATGAACTTATAGTGCACTTTAGTGAAAAAACAACAACAGAAACTTAACTGAGACTAATAAGAAAAATGTACAGAAGATTGTTCATGACCCATGGTAGCAACACGCATTGCAAATCACCTTATCTCTGGGGCCTGTGGCTACAAAAGTTTATAGCTCTGACCTTTTTTGATGCAATTCAGTTGATATGTAATTGTTTATAATTGCAGATTTTACCTCAAATAGACCCCTTATTGGAGGTTATATTACAAGATTTTCTGATACAAAATTTTCTATGATTATATAAAAAAAGTACATTTTAAAGTTTTGAAGAATGGAATATCTATAGTGTTAAGTCATTTTGGTAAAGCAAATATGATTCCAACAGGAAAAAAACAAACTACTCTATACTTACTAAGGTGAAGAAAGTTAAAGCTTGTCAATGGAAATAACTGAAGAACACAGTGGTCTACTGCAGCTTAAGAAGGAATCTCCCTTAGAACTAAAAAAAAATCAACGGATTTAAGCCTACAAAAGACCAACTGTAGCAAGTTCTAAAAGTGGTATCTGGCATATGACAAATGGAAGTGTGTTGTTACATTGGAATATGTCTACTTAAGTTTATGCAATTCAATATTCTCACATAACTGATAAAACATTTCACAAATGGCACAGAACTTGTTCTCAAAGTCCTTCCGAGGCATTTAAACTGGTTGTAGGTTATAGTCATAATGGTAAGTTAAAATTTTGTAGTTTAAAAAAAATACCAAGGTAAACTCTTGATAATATGTTTAATGTGCTACACCACTATATTAAGAAAATACCAACTTTATATGGAATGAATACCAATAAGATGTGACTCCATCACGAAAAAATCATCCAGAAACATATCCAAGTCAGGATGTCAGTTATTCTACACCACACAAGCACAAACAAGAATTTGTGCAATACTATCCAAGGTCTGTTGCCTAGGCTATTATGCTTTTAAATAGCTCAAATGGGCCCTCGAAATCTGTTGACTTTAGATAGTTGATGAATTTTGGGAAGGATGTAAAGAGAAGAGGCAAAACTAACTTTAATATATTGTGAAAAGGTCTCCTGCACTGTATTGCAGAGCATTAGTCCATAACCAGGGCCATCACACAGAATACTATAAACAGCAGAAGAAGGGGCTGTAAGGCCTACATGATCTTCTTTGTATTGTTACTACAAATCATGAACACTTTCTTACACCTTATAATAAAAATTCAGTGATCAAAGCTCAAGTACTTGCAACAATATGAATCAATCAAATAAGTATCTAAAATAATCACCTTGATCATCCAATTTCTTAGTTTGATAGCAAAGGTAATATCCAAAGGATCCATTAGAAAAGTAAAAGGAGACAGAAGCCATAATCAAAGAGAATCACAAAGGAAATGAAGGGGAACAATCTTATAAAAAAATGCCTGAAATAATAATATAGGAACCAGAACTAACAGGGCATAGCAATAAATGAAACATCAATCAAGGAGAAAGCCACAGGATTCAAGGTATGACCAGCAGCTGTGATGCATATTGAAGAATCCATGGACTTTTCAACGACATAAAATTTAGCATCACAAGTTGGATAATATATATATAAACCCAGAAAAGTTTTTGGAAATCTACAAACTGAAAAAGAATAAAATTAGAAAACAAAGTTTGGTAATAGCAAATTGAAACATTATTGTACACAATGAACAACAACATGATTATAGCACTTTCAGCAAAATATAACTGGACATAAAATTCCAAAATGAAATGAGCTTAGAAAAGTATAGGAACAGATACCATTCTGGGATGTGCATACACATGTACTGTAGCTATGGATTAAAAACATACTCTTACGAATGAGCCTGTAAATAAAACTACACAAAACTGAATCACAAGATGATGGAATGGAAAAACTAGAAAAAAAATTGGCTTAATAACAATATAGGTTAAATAACTATTCTCAGTCTATGTATATATATATATTTTTCTTACAAGATATATTATTTAAAAGTATATTCAAAGACACTTTTAGTGAGAATTTTATACTTTCAAGTATATAAAAAGTTACTTAAATATTATAGAACTGATCTGTTATACTTCTGAACTGTGACAATCACATATATTTGTTACAATTTTATTTCTCAGTTTGTGTAACTTCTTGTATTTAATCAGATTTTTTGGTAATATATACACATAATGATAAATAAATGATATTGCCATCTTGATTTTTTTAACTGTTCTTTAGTGCAAAACACTTGAAAATATTTGTCTGAAAACTTGTTTTACAGCTACTAATTCTTTTTGTTGATTAGATATGCCAGAAAAAGATATTAAGAGCAATTTTTCTTTTAAATCATAACTAATGAACTAAAAGAAGTTTTGAGCATTATAAAATATGATTGTTAATGACACCAAATAAAGCTACTTTGCAAAACAGTTTGCTCAACCCTTGTTTCCATAATCAGATTAGGCCTAGTTCAAGGTACCATTCTACCAAAATTATGTAATAACCAAATAGAAGTATTATATTAAAATCTTATTATACAATGAGTACATATTATCTGAATTATTAAAATTTTGTAAATAAATTTTAAACAATTGTTAATCATTGGTCAATAGTAAAAGAACCCAGTTGAAAGCCCTAAATTGAACAATATGAATAAAAATATCCTCTTATATTTATTTAAATATAATTACCAGGATTTGATATTCTATTTTTCATAAAATTCATAAATTGCCAAGTTTGAAAAAATACAACAGGCATACTTTATCTGTTTGATGTAATGTTCATAATAGTTAACTTGTTCTGATTTGCTTATGTATAACTATTGGCCTTCTGCTGGGTACACAATATGTGCCCAAGATAATACATTATATGGTCTTTATTTATGTTTAAATTATTCTAGCTCAGCCCTTTTTCACTCGCAGGAGTTCAGAATATTGTTCAATGAAAATACTTTTCAATTCTCCGTATACAATTTAGCAATTCTAAAGTTTCAAAATAAAACTACAAACCAATTTATATAGTAAGTTTATATAATATAAAGTTAAGTCTCAGAGAAAACAAACAGTTATAATGCAGGAATGAAAATCAAAGTTCATGACCAACGGGTAAAATCATCATTGCCAAGAAACATTAATATTTATAAGGTCTGAGCTTAGTTTCACAGGAGAATTTCTATACCTTGTAAATTTGTTAGAATTGGCTTGAATATATTTCAAATAGCCTTCATAATTTTTTTATTGTTTCTAGTTTTGTTGCTTCTTTGGATACATTTAGGAAACTGTTAGCCCAATTTGTATCATACTTGCCTACAACAACTATGAAAAGTAATAACAAACTGTTTCAATTAATATTCCGTGGTTCTTTCCCAATATTTCATAGAAATGAATATTTACCCATATGTATTGTGATTATTAACTAGTTATATTAATTTAGGCTTGTTTCAGAGTTACATGTATGTGGTAAATTTTATAAAATATAATTGAGCATGCAATTTCTTTTGAGTAACTATTAATACAATCAGTTTACCACTAGCATATATTGGGAATTATACTCTCAAGACATGATACTTTCTTAACAAATATAAATATATGCTTTGGCATGGTAGAAAAATTCTGAAAATATTGATGAGTGAGTTGTTTATAGGAGAGGATCCTCAGAAGTGTGCAGAAATGCATGTTTGAAATTTTTTCTTTGCGAATTACAATAAATCAATCACACAAAAGCTAACATTTTTTTTTACACTGAAAAAGTATTTCTGATAGGCACTTACCTCCTCTGACACAAAGCTATCTCAATCTTCTTTCTGACCACTAAGAATTTTAACACTCAGTGCAACAGTCTATATAGCCCACAAATGTTGTGCCACTTTTGAACATGAAGATAGCATTTTACCACCCTCCACCAATAGTATTGCACCATCTATATTGTCACAGCTAGCTCTTTCTAATGTTCCCACTCAATCTTCACTTTAGAGAATTGGCAGGATCTAAAATTAGTAACACTGACAGTAGGGAGGAAGGATACAAACTGTGCAAGTGGAGGTAAATACCTATCAGAATTACATTTTCAGTGTAAGAAAATGTTAACTTCTGATACGGGCTTACCTCCTCTCACACAAAGTTAGAATCCCACACCAAAAAGGTGGAGGGGCCAGTGTAGGTGCCTAATAGTGAAACCAAGCAGAAAGCAACCACCTAGAAATAATTGGTGTGCTCAAAGACAGAAATGAATCACATATGTGGGGCACTGCACCTACTTCTGTAACAGGGATACTCTTTGCCCCATAAGAAGGAAATTAACTGGACACAGGCAGAAAAAAAGGATGTGCAAAATCTTAATACAATCTGAGGGGTGCAATCCACAGGAAAAAACAGTGAGTTCGCACTGTTTACGTATGGTTGGTGTATGTGTATATAACCACAATGTTTAGGTTCTCTAATTTTTTTTTGATCTGGGTGATCCTTAACCTCCTAATGCCAAGGATGGGTTGTGGAACCTTGTCATTTTGCCTCATAAGGGTATCGAGTTCGCTTCAAGTTTTCATTTAACAGAGCAGTTCATCACCTGTGAGAGCCAGCTGTTTTCTGATGTGGTTTGTGTGATGGAGGACAATTTGTCATACATCAAGCAACTGGAATTATGAAGAGGAAGTTAGCATTTGGCCCAAACCGGACAAACTTCCAACACCACCATAGGAAAACAAACTCAACCATAGGAGCAGGGATGGAAACCTATTTCAATCAGAATTAATAAGAAGGGGGCCTCTACTGCACTCAACCGTGCACTTAACCCGGTATTCCGAGGACGATCCTGCATAGACTGGTTCTGCTCCCACCGACAATTGGTCCACCTGGGAATAAGCATTCAGAGGAAAGGGAAGGAGGGAGCCCAGTTTTGCCCTCATCTCACTGAGCAGATAATTGTGTGGTTGTATTGTAAGGTAAGTTTCTACTTCAAATTCAGGAGGAGGCCTCCTTGGTACACCACCCCAGTGACTGGAAACTGTTAAGGACTCCAATACCCAACTTGGAGAAAAAAAGGAGGGGAAGTAACTGCAGTGGGGAGTCTGGAGGATCATCACACTGGATAAAGTGCAATGGGTGTCCATGATTCCATATCCATAAATGAGTTAAACTTAAAGATACCTAGAAACACATAGGTATATACCACTAGGCATGCCACTAGTGGTCTTGCAGAACACCCCATCTCCACAGTGAGCATTATAGATCTTACGGTATATATTGTGGGTTTGAATAAAAGCATACCTGACCAGGTAACACTCACCACAGAGTGGGATCCTACGAGTAGAGGTAAAAGATGGTCCCTGAAAAGAAAACATAAATGAAATGTTGTGAAAATACATACCCAAGTCAAAGGCAAATGGACATGTGTAGAATTGCCACAGGAGGGAGATGGTATCCAACCTAAGAAAGATACAGCCAGATAGTGCATATAATGAGCGATAAAGGAAGAGGGAGTAGTCCACATATCAGCCTGAATGATTTCTTCCAATGGATGGTGAAGACAAAAAGCCAAATACACGGTGATATGACAAAGCTTGATGAGAAGAAACGTTGAAGAGACGGCGACCTTCCATGGATAAGTCTGAATACACCAGCCTACGAAGTTGACAAACGCAACCAGTTAGTGTGACAGAGGAAAGATAACGGGAAACAGAAGGGTTCCAGGGAATAAAAGGTCAGTAACATTAACCACAAAAGAAGGCAGTATGTGCCACATAACACCATAGGGAGTGAACCTGGGAAGGAAGCCAATCAGGATCAGAAAGGGAGTACAGGTGGGAGATGGAATGCAAAGAAATGAGTATAGATTGTAGCATACCAAAATAAGATGGTGTCAGAAAATGTGAATCCAATTTTCTTCTCCTCGATTGTATTCATCCTCAGAAACATTGTCAGGTTGAAAATGAGAAGAAATCGCCAGCCAAACATTGGAATCTAACCTCCTACAAATTAAGGCATGTACCTCCTCAGCAGATAAAGTCAAACTTGATGTCTGGGTAGTTGTACCATTGTTTACCATAATGGGAATTTCCATTATTGATACATTGAATCATAAAGTCATTCTAAATTACTGTATACTTCGTTAACAATAAACGAATACAAAAAAATCAAACAATTCAATGCAAACACAGTAAAAGAAAACTGTTGAAAAAGGTATTGAAATGTCAATGAAGTTCAATCGTAAAAGGTAGTCACATGTGAAAAAACAAGCATCTAAACAATGCTGTGTCAATAAAAAAAGTGAGGATTGAATGGGAATGCTAGAGGGAGCTAACTGTGCCAATATTCGTAGCACAATACTATTGGTGGAGGGTGGCCACATGCTCAAAAGTAGTGCAACATTTGTGGGGTATATAAACTGGAGTGCTGAACATTAAAATGTTTTATCAATGCTTAGTGTATAAAAAGAAGATCAAGACAGCTTTATGTGAGATAAGGTAAGACTGTATCGGAATGAAAAAATATCAGTTTTCTAATTTTTTTTTTCAGAAAAACTTGTTGAAATAGTTATAACAATTATTTTTTACTTAAAATTTGAAACATGATAAGCATGTATGTACTCAACACCTGAAAGGTGCTCACAGGTCCTGAAAGGGTTAATGAAAAGTTTCTAGTTTTTAACTCTTCCTAAAATAGTTTTAGGAATATCAAATGTTCAGTTGAGATGATGATTTATGTGAGGTGGGTAGAGTTCCATAAGCTTAAGTTTTATAATAAAAATGTATTGACACATGTTGATAGTTTTATTACCTAAAAAAAAAACTTTAGAAAACTATTTTGTTCTTTTATACAACAGTAAATGTACAATATTTAATTTCTTCAATAGATCAGTAACTTTTCATTTCTCAACAAATGTACAAGGTCATCTGTCAATCCACACAGAATGTAGTGAATGACCAATACATAATATTACCTGTTTAGTTAAGAACTGCAAAACATACAATGTTACCTAGTGACAGCATATTCCCTGAGTCCTGAGTGAAGGTTCATGGCACTAAAGGTACCTATACAACCCCGTAACCTCCGATCTTTTCCTATCTTCCAGGTTACAAAAAGAGGACTGAAAAAAACAACAATATTATGAATTATTTTACGACACGAAAAATTTGAAAAAAATTAATCTGCAGTACCTGTACAGCATATATTAAAGGTAAGCTAGATAAAAAAATATATTAAAATAAAGGCATCTACACATTCACAATGAAACAGAAACTAAAATCTTCTTTTAACTAAGTTTTTGAAGTAAAATTGAATCCATCTCCTAAGATGGGTAGCAAAAAAAAAATACTTCCATGTATTCAGATCCACTGTAGTCTTCTTCCATTCTCATAACATTCACTTCATACTGATGGTTCATAAGTTAAGAGTACATTGCACATGTGGTACATGTAGGTAATTATTATTTAAAAAACTTATTGTTATAATAATTACTAACATTTATCCAAATGTGAAGTATAATGTGTACTTATAACACATTCAGCTATTCTTAGAAGATAAAAAGACATAAGTCTGGGGTATAAATTACCCCTACAGAGGAGCAAAAGCATTTCATTTAATCATTTTTTATAATTAAACAGTTCAATAACTAGTACCTAGACAGACAACAAAGTAATCACATTAAACAGAGGAGAGGCTGTGAATGTAACAGACTAGCAGCATCCTTATTCTGAGATGAGACGGTGTGATGAACAGTCAGAACAAATACTCATTAAAAGAGTATACAGAAGTCTTTAATAAAGACCTTGAGACAGATGCCAACTTTTCTTTCCCATGCTTAGACTGAACCCATTATTAGTACACACATACACACAAAGAGCATAAAGGGTATTAAAGCATAACATCTGATCACACTCCAATATAAGTCAAGTTTCAACAAGGATGGAACAGCCAGGATATAAGCTAAATACAGCTAAATGTCACACAATTAAAGGATGAATATAATGAGGGATGTCAAACTGACATTTTGCAATTATCTACTGTAAAAGCCTTGAGAGTCAAATTATTGTACTGTCAGTAAATAAACAAGCAAATTACAACATGAACCATAAAAGGTGCAAAACAAAAATTCTAAAAAGAAAGAGATGACTCACAATAAAACAGGACAGAAGTTTAGACCAGTAAAGGTAAGAAGTTTTTGCAACAATAAAGAAAAATATATTAACAACCAAAGAGCACAAAACAAAATAGATAACTTAAAATATCAGCAACAACAATAAAAAAAAACTGGTTTCGAAAGATGAAAAACTAGAATATTAAACTAGATGAAATAAACCTATTATGTTCTCATGGTGGAAAATTCCAAACATACTGATGAATCCTGGATGGGAGAAGTTTATAAAAAAAAATTAATACACTAGTCATAACTGAACATGTTTAGCTCACAATCTCAAGACATAAAAAGGTTTATGATCGACGAAGATGATGTGTTTTATTCAGAGTTAAGCCTAAGTAACAGTATAGCTACACACAGTTCAACATCTGGGAATGGAGTGATTTGTCTAAATAAGAAAAACTTATTTAGACAAAAAAAATTGGTTAATGACCAAACTTGCAAATTCCAGAACAGGCCGAGCCCAAATAAAAAAAAAATTTGTTTTTAAAGTTAATGGTACAGAAGTACAGCCTTCAACTATCAGGTTATGGACTTTGAGATAAGTCATATTTGAGTTGAAACTAAAATCTTCATGTCTGTCATGCCCATTTAAGTTAGCATAAGGTGAATAAAGTTAAAAAACTACCTTATACTTAAGCATTCATGCTGATGTATATAAAAGCCATTGCAATGCTATACTACAGTTAATTAAGATGTGTTTGTTTGTAATCAAGAACAAAGCTATACAATAGGCTATCTGAGCTCTGACCACCAGGGGTGTCAAAACCCAGTTTCTAGCATTGTGTCCACAGACATACAGCTGTGCCACTGGGAAGTGGTTAGTTAAGAGAAAAAGCTCCAGCCAAATCAGGATCTAATTTGGACAAACTGGAAAGAAGCTTACTTTGAGTTACTATCTATAATAATATGAAATACCATTATAGTACAAATACATGTAAAATAAGTTTATACTTTTTTTAAATTTGTTGGTATAAAAATATTAAAAACCAAATCATTACAAATGATGTAATTATGGATTGCTATGATACTGATTTTAAGACACTGTTACAACCAGTGAAAATTTGAGTGAGGCTCTTTAAATGGCTCAAAAATGCTTAAGATTGTGCCCTGATAAATAAACACATTCTTAAATTATTTCATACAAAACATGAACATGATACAGATCTAGAATAAACAAAATTTCATTCCACTTCGTACTTGGACATCAACTTTGATGACCTAAAATAATTTATCATTTATATTGTTAAATCCAGTTATATCTCCAAAAACATGTAACAGGTGTAATAGTTTAGAAGTACTTACATTAGACTTATGATGGTTTGCACACTAATTATTGCTCGCAACCATTTTGTTTCTTCCAAAATCAAAACACTTGTAACAGAACATCAGCACATCTACATATATATATATATATATAATCCAGTACAAATTCATTCATAACTAATTTAAAAATATTGAAGACTTGGTTAAACCATTACATATTACAAACTTTCATTAAAATATGAGCTAAGAAAATATGGTATTAAAACAATTCTGATCCCTTATGTTTTAGAACTTAACTGAACCTTTCTCTAGCTTAGAATGGAAACAAGACACAACTGCCTGTAAAAAAATTCATTAGATTACAAAATATTTGGAGTCACTGTTATTTTAATACTTTATTTTAGTGACTAAAAACTGGTAATCAAACACATGTATTAAAAAGAGAATTATTTAGTATTGTTTGCAAATTGTCAAATCAAGTAACTACCACAATTTAGGAAAAAAAAAGTCTCATTACTAAGTGCAAAAATACACAAGATAACTAAACCAGAAAACTTTTGTGTGTCTTAGACAAATATAAAATTGACAATGTCTTGACACATCAGTTTGACTTTCTTGTATTGCTTAAGTTATACCCACCACTAAGTCCTTTTTTTATGTTTATTTTTTAAGTGCTATTTTTTCTTATGTATTGAATGTTCGCTTTTCACAATTCAGGTCGTAGAATACTTTTCTTGTGAGATAACTTTTATGCACAAAATCACTGTTACCTGGCTCATTCTAATATTTTATCAATATAAACCTCTGTACAATATCATAGATTTTTTTTAACATATGGACTTTTAGAGACACTTAGATAAGATACATTAAAAAGGTATCTTACTTAAAAATTATGACACTAACCAAGTTGTTTCACAAAATAAAACTCCACAATATTAATAAGGAGCAAACTGTCCTAAGGAGACTATAGGAATTTCCTATTTATTCATACACTTGTAGAAAGCTACCACCAACTACGATAAAATAATATTTTAAGTAAGAGCATTGTCTTGCTACATCAAATGTAAAACTTTTTTTAGTTTGCTGAAAAGAAGACATCTAGTTGAGCTTTTTTCTACTATCTAACTACTGCCAAGTCATTTCCTCCACTTCCTTTTTTCTTATAAATACATCCATTTCTCCTAAAAACAAAATTCTAGTTACTTTGTTTATATAAACAATGTTTTATTTATATCAGAAAAAAAATTAAGTATATAGTCAAATAATAATAAAAAATCTTTTGTAGAAAAATATGGTACATGGGCAAACTTTTAGTATAGCACATATGAAATGAACATGAATAAAGTTATTCATTAACGTGCAAAATTACAAACGAATATACAATAAGTTGCTTCTCTTAAGATGTCTAATTCAAATTGATGTAATGCAATTTAGAATATTACTTTGCTTCACAAAGATACATTATATAAACAATCAATAACTGGAGCTCTCAAACTATTTGAAAACAAGCTTAAGCCACTAAATCTTTTAGCAAATGAGAGCATAATCAAGTTAACATAGTAATTTAATCCATTAAGATCACATCCATTATTCTATATTTATATACAAGTACCTACCCAACAATACTTCAGAAACATTTATATTACAACCACACACCACTTCATAATCCAAACAATTACATAAATTTTAAAGTTAATACAGATGCTGTTACTGTTGACAACAACAAAGATATGGAATTAGATCTATTTGATAGATCCAAAATTTAATCAATTTTTTTCAAATAAATATTATGATGAAAAAATGCGAAATTCCAAAATGTCAACAAATGAAAAGAGTATTCTCAAAAGATATTAGTTTGAATTATGGAAAATTAGTATTATAATTAATAACTTTTTTTAAGCAAATGATGGATATATGGTTAAAATAAAACATGAGCTTATATAACTACATTGACAACTCAAATTAGGAAATTTTATGACAAAAATAAATTTATAATATCATCTTGGAAATCCTTGCCCAGCTATATCTACTTCCTACCATTTTTTAATTATTATATGACAAAACCAATAAACATTTACAACAGGAATGACTACCCTGTGTACTTATTATATTAATAAGCTTTACGGTTTTTAATAGTAGATTTTCATTGATAACTGGTTATAGAAACTAAATATGTAATTAACCAAAAAAGCTAAACAAATCAACACAACTAATTGATAATAGATGGCGCTAGTCCTGATGGGCCACAGATCTTTAAGATGACACTATAGCTGCATACTTAGCTTCCTACACGTACAAGCTGTCATTTGGAAAGTTTGGAGACTTTGGAGGTTCAAAGTGGTTTAAATGGCAGTACAGAACATCGAAACAGAAAAAACACATATCAACAGAGGCCACCATCCCATTTCTGTAAATTGTGGTTGGATAGGGAGTAGAGATATAGTAGTCTCCATTTCGGAGAGGACTTTGTTGTCTCTCGTGCCTCTCATGGCTAATTTTCTGCTTCTTAGCCCCACGACAAACAACCGCCATTATACTATGCCAATCTAGACAGAGCGCCATCTGTGGTAGAGACGTGACACTACAAAAGTTTTCTTTCCATTATGAAGTACAAAAATTAAAGTAAAATAAAACAATAAACATGTTTTTATGAAGTATTTGAAATGTTTTTCTGTAATTTTAGCAGGTCACATCAATTACTCACAAAATTACATTTAAAAACGAAATAGAATTTAAACATGCAACTTATTTTGGTGAAGCTTTAAGTGATACAAAGTATATTAAGTATACATGAATATATATTTGTATTTTGATAATCATACAAGTAGGCAAAAAAGACAAACATAATTCTTTGGTCATGTGAAGAGGAGAAATGGGATGGAACACTTGGTTACAACTAGGAAATTTGTGCGGAAAAGAAGTAGAGGTAGACAGCGAGAGAAGATCCTGGACAGTTTAACAACTTGGCTACACAAAGAGAGGGGGACTGATGTAATTACAAGTGCCTGGGACCGGGAAAAGTGGAGGGACATGATCGCCTACACTACAAAGCACATTACTTGTTGATGATGAGGCGAATTTAAGCATATAACATTTTTATCAGCAACTCACTCTTCCTATTCTAAAAAATTTCCACCACCTGACGCTTAATTGAGTAGAAAATGGGGGGTAATCTCCCCCAGTATTTTAAATGGGGAGATGCTCCATGCACTAAATGCCTCATTTTGTCAACTACATATAGTATAGAATATTGGACAAAATTCACCAACACATGGTAATATGTAATTTGATTTAGTACGTGGCTAGATGATTGCAAACACAATTTTAAAGCCTCACACCATATATTGAATTTACAATAACTGTAAGCTTTAAAACAGTTCCAAACGATGTATCAGTGCAGGTACCAGATAATTATCAACCTCTTTACTTTGCCAAGCAGAGATATTGTTTCCAACCAATGGCCCAGCAGGTCTATGGAAACCAATACCAAGTGGTAAATACTGCATCTACACTTATAAAAACTAAATTAACCCAAGTCAAGTCTAGGTATTGACTTGGTAGAGCATAACAAATAACTTGTACAAAATAGTTTGGTGGTCAGCCCATCTCTCTCAGGATTGGATGCTCGAGTTCCTGGCTGATACAGAAACATCAATAACACTGATATATCTTGCATTATATCAAGTCCTCCAACTCAGACCGTCATTTTGACCAGTGGATACAACCTTTCTTCTGGCAATTGGCAATACACTAGATGAAACTGGAGATGAAGCTTTTATTCTGCTTAAAAGTAGTCCTTTGGCATAAGCTTCTTCATGATAGACATAGTGCAGAAATTATTAATTATGTCCGCTCGTGCATCTGGTAAACAGATGTTTGACAGGAGAGTTATCTGATATCGGCCAGATGAAGCTCAAAAACAGTGGACTGTGGGAGTGTGTGTAATAGATGGAATATGAATATCTCCCTATACACAAGTGGTGTTCTATGGTTTACTATAGACAAAGTCTAGTACATTGGTACCATGTAATGTGGTTATAAAAACCACACATGAAATGAACTGCACAGTTATCTATCCAAGAAGACGTGAAGTCCCAGTGTTGTTTTGTAATTACGATAATCAACTATCCAGCTTTATGCTGGAATGGTCATAGATGCAGTAAGTGAAGTGTAGGTAACTGATGTTAACAGTAACGTGACCAAACCAAGTATATGCCTATTAACACATCTGAGATCATTGATAATTGAATGTGCAAACAGTCCAGATCCAATACATTGAAGCTAGTCAGTGACTGTTAGTTTAGTGTGCTAATGTATTATGGAACCAATTGGCTGATTGGGTCAAACAACAATGACTCACCACAGCATAGTTACAGGTGACACACATCCAAAAAAGCAACCATTATGCCAGCTTTCCTAGGGCTGTCGCCAGTACTGAAATTCCAAGGACGTTGAAGGATGGAATCATACAGCCTTCAAAGAGTGCTTGGTGATTTCAAATAGTGACTGTCAAGGAGAAGAAAAGTATGTCAATATTCTGTATTGATTTTAGATGGGTAAACGAGGCAGCTTGCTTTGATGCCCTTCCCTATCCATGAAAAGATGAATGTCTGGACACTTTGGAAGGTTCCCATTGAATTAACACTTTAGAATTGCCATCTGGATACTGGCAAGTCAAGCTGGGTTATAACAGCAGACCTAAGACTAATTTTCACAGGAAAATGGCTTATATCAGTACTGTGTCATGCCATTCAGCCTGTGTAATCCAATGACTTTTTAGGAGTCGATAGGAGCTTATAATGAAGGGGCTTCAATAGGAGCGATGTCTGGTTTACATCTTCAAGTCTATATCTGAAAACCTAAGTTATATTTCAGTAGATAAATAAAGCAGTTTGAAATCGTGAACAGAAATGGAGTTTCTTGGTCACATTGTAGGTAGAATTGGAATCTCTACAGATGATGCTGAGAATGAAGTGGTAAGATGCTTAGTCTCAGCTTGTGACCGTGTTAGAAGTCTCTAATTTCCTTGGTTTGGTATCATATTACTAATGCTTTGTGATCAAATTCTACAAAATAAAAGTAACATTGCTTACTCTCACTAAAGTTGAGATGCACTTTGGATGGAGCAAGAAATCTAACCATGTATTCCGATCCCTCAAGTTTGCATCAACTAATGCTCCATTGCTGGTACAACCACAATAAAACAGCAAATTCCTATTGGACATTGATGCTAATAATAATGGAATTGGTGCAATGTTATCACAGTTACAGGGTGAAATTAAAGCATGTAATCATATTTGCTAGTCTTACACTCATGGCTCCAAAATGCAGGTACTCCATATCAAAGAAAGAACTGTTTGCAGTTGTAGTCTTCATAAAACACTATCGCTAATAGGAGGTTTTCTGTCAGAGTAGGCCATGATTTGCGGGAAATGGTTAACAAACTTTAGAAACCCAGAAAGGATGGTAGCATATTTGATAAACAGTGCAAAAACATGACTTTGCTCGGATCTGCAAACATGTAAACACAGATGGGCTCTCTCTCTCTCTCTCTGCATGGTGAGATCCTGTCCATACATAGAATTTCCTTATCCTGGACATCATGCAAGAGTGAAAACATTTCTATTAGATCAATGCCAAGCCATTCAGTAGGAGATTCTGATAGTGGGTGGATGTCATGATTAACACTTCAGTTGCTCTGAGAAGAGCAATTGGAAGACCGAGATATAGAATGACTGTTCTTTGCTATGCAGCAAAATAAATCGTAGACAGCACATATACAGGAACATAGCATAGATGCGTGTAACCTGTAACACTTGTATGATCAGTTGTGAGTGCAGTAAGGTGTGCTGCACCATTGCTATGAAACATTAAGCCACGATTCTCAGACTGTTCTACAGCTAGTTGTCCCCAGAACTTTAAGGTAAGAGATTCTTCAAACCTTGCATAACACGAAGACTCGAGGGAACCAAGGTATTATCCATACTTTTTCTAACATTCAATGGCAGTTATTTTGGCTGCATTCAAGATGTTTGGCACTGGTGTGAATAATATTGTATTTTATATGTCACCCAAAGAAAGAAACACCTAAACCATGGTAAACTCCAATAAATATTTTTTGGATCTCTGCTACAGAGGATAGCTCTGGATATCACTAATCCACTTCCATAGATAGAGTGGTCATAAATATATTCTTGTCTTGTCACCATTGACTACTTCATATGTTGATGGAGCATTTGATAACATGGTTCGGAGCACTGGAAGAGCTCCACATCCATAAGGAAGCCAATTTCAACAATTAATTGTTCTTTAAGCTTGGTTAATTTATTAGGTGTGATGAAGACACACATACTTTACCTTATTACCCCAATCTAATGGTTTAGCAGAAAGGGTAATACAAACTACCAATTGCATGCTTATCAAGTTTGATAATCCCAGCGGCATTCTGATGGCATAGATGGCAATTGAAGAGATATCTTCAGGATGCTTGCCAAATGTTCTCATGGAATTTTGGAATTTCTGCTTGATGGGATGACACGTCATATCAACAGAAATAGAAATACGTGGAGTGGGTAAGGCATACATTAAGTGATGTACGCGAATTTACCCATTAACAACTAGGAAAAGCCACCCAACGTCAAAAGAAGCAGGGTTTGGCTGTGGTAGTACAAATAAGCTGCTTGGATCTAACTGGAATTAATTACAGTAAACGTAAGTTGCATGAAAGAGCAAGGAGCACATCGATAAGCTACATCCATACATCATAGATGAGCCTCTTGTGCATTGCCTTGGCAAGTAATTTATATGGGAGCACAAAGCAGTTGGTTATAAGCTACTAGAGTATATAATAATGTGTAATGGTTATATATACATATAGCAGTGTACTTATATAAATTGATATCTGTGTGCATGATCTTACACACATGAATGAACATTATATCAAGTCATTCATTAGTGTTTAACACAAATGAATCTATTACACAAAGAACACAGTGGTAAGCAACATGTATATGGAAAAATGGAATGGATCTGAGATGTTAAGACTATGATATGAGGTTAACTGCAAGATAATGCTTCAATTTTGAAATTGAAATATTAAGCAAGTAGCGAATTTTCACGGAACAGGTAAGAGAAACAAAGCGACTCGTTCTACTTCTGAGAGAAAATAGTTTTTTACCTGATGTTTTTCATAAAAAATGGTACAAGATATTTTGCTTTCACCAAATTGAAATATTTACAAATGGTTGAAATTATCAGCCGAAAATGAAATTTATAGACACTGGCTTAGATATTTGAACAATTATAAACTTGCACCAAGTTTTTTATTTGGTTGTAATAAAATATTTTCATAATGCAGATTGAAGCATTGCTAATAAGCATACAGTTTTGTTAAACATTTTCGTAACATTGTTTCGGTACAAGGTGCAGTAATAACACGTGAGAATGAAAGTTGTGAGTGTACTAGGGGGAGGTGAAAAGTAACACTGGCATGGTGAAAACTTTCTAAGTCACACCCAAACTGTGC